AACGGAAATTTTTCATTGTTAATGCCCCCGCACCCCCCTTGCGGGTGGAATTTCGAAAAATTCGTTCTTAGCTCACCTCTACCCAGTGAAAGGAATATTCCTACCAAATTTCGAGTCTCTAGGTCTTATAGTTCCAAAGATATCGTGATGAGTGACTATATCCATTCAATTAACCGATTGCATACAGCAGATTCTTATCAAATTTGGAGCTTACAGGAGCTACAACACAGAAATTTGAAATTTTCATCGTTAAGATCCACCCCCGCAACCCCCTGTGGGGTAGGATATCGTGAAAATTGTTTATGAATTATTTTTACACCACCTACAAAAAATTCATACAGAATTAAGAGTCCTATAGGAGCTATAGCTTGGAAATTTTTAATTTTTATTGTTAACGCCTACCCCCGTGATCCATATTGGGAGTAGATTGTCATAAAATCCGCTTATAGATTATTTCTACATCACATATAGGAGATTCCTACTAAATTTAGAGTCGATAGGAGCTATATAGTTTAAAAAAATGGGAATTTTCCGTTGTCAACGCCCCTGCGACCCCCCTTGTGGGTGGAATTTCGTAAAATTCGTTCTTAGCTGACCTCTACCCAGTGAAAAGAATATTCCTACAAAATTTCAAGTCTCTACGCCTTATGGTTTCAGAGATATCGTGATGAGTCAATATATAGGTGCAAATCTCTTATATATATAGATTAAAATAAAATATATAATCAACGTGAATATATTAATTATACTAACTTTTATAAGTTGGAGGCCCTCTTTTTCATTCAACCAACTAACGAATACTAAACGTATCATAACCAATAAATACTAAACAAAACACAATCGATTAAATGACAGACAGATTCTTTTTTGTTTTTAAACAAAAGATAGCGTAAATAAATGACATCTTTAAATAACCTATGAAAGATGAATAATTTTTAAACAAATAAAGTAAATAAATGCCATATTTACATAACCTAGAAATGAATTAACAAAAACGTTGCTATAGACAATAATTCATGTCACAACCTTGTGGATGCGAGGGTAGATGCGTGGGAGTGCGTGGGTGGATGCATGGGAGTGTGTGGGTGGATGTGTGGGAGTGCGTGGGAGGGTGTGTGGAAACGCGTTTATAAGCATTGAAGTGACGTTAGACATTTTGCCGGTCTTTATGCGCTTGAAAATGAAGAAGAAGTGATGTTCATTTGTTTTAGTAGTAGAAACAAATGACTATCCACATAAATTTGAAAAAAAAAATGGTAAACCCGGGAAAAAATGAATTTGCCTAATCATATATGGTTTTATATAATCTCACTTATATATAATTAGACCTGAAAATTGGCCAGATCTAATCATATATAATCATATATAATTAGATATAATTATATATAATTATTTCTATAAAATATAAAAAATATTCACCGCGAGCGGGGATCGAACCGGGGACTTGACGCTTCAAAGACCAACACACTACCTGCTTACCTATACGAGACTTACTGGAAGAGTAAAGCTTGAAATACCTACAACTAATGCAAATCGAATACATAATCGATTTTTATAAGTTAAATTAATTAATACAGTTCCATTATTTCATCCACAAAAAACTATAGTTTAAAAGATTATTAATCATTTGAGTAGCAGATTCTGAGATGAAGACAGAGAATGTTTTATAGTAATCACAAAATTCATTTATAATTATATATGATTCATATATAATTAGATATGACTCATATATAATTATATATGATTTATATATAGTCATATATGATTTATATATAGTTATAAATGATTAATATATAATTATATATGATTTCCGTATAGTTACACTGATATTGATAGAAGGATTTGTTTAAATTTATTGAGCTTTATTAACTGATAATAAGTGATTTTGTTAACATCATGGGATTTAATATACATTTATTACCAGTTAATAAATTATTCATTAAATACGATTTATCAAATGTTAATAAATATTTGTTAACAGTTTTGTAAACATTTGGTCAACAAATATTTATTTAAAATCAAAAGCAAAAAGTAGACAATTTTCTTTTGTCATTTTTT